GAAAACAAACAAACCAAACCTATCATAGTAGTAAATTTCAAATGGAGCCATTGTTTATGAAAGTTTGGTTTAAAACTTGACCTTGATTGTCACAGTCAGAGAAAGAACTATCTGGTGGTTGGGGAATACTGGCTGTCCTTTTTTTTTTATTGGTTATTTTATAATTTAGTTTGTCTGTTTCATCATCTGGATCATCTATTTGTTGGTATGATTTTTGGAAATTACAAATATAGTCACTTAAAATTCTAATGGACTTTATATATGCTGTCTGAAAACAAGTGCACAAAAGATCTGACAGTGTGTTATACTTAGTATTCCAAGTCACACCTAGGTGAATTGAGAGAGGTTTTTTGAATGTCCTACACCTTTTCATGTTTATTAGTTTTAGTTGTTAAAACATATTCATCTTATTATATATGTAGTGATTAAATAAACATCATAGTGTATTGACACTATCAACTAGTAATTATAGTACATATTTTAAATAATCATTAAATCAAATAACATATTAATAATTTTGCACATGTTGCAAAGTCGAAAATGTTGTAGCTAAACCAGTGAAAGATAAATTAATTCAAGTGAAAAAAAATCTAGTTAATTCTGGAGAGATAATTATGAAAATATAAGTACTAAAAAAATGTAAAATAAAGTATGAAATATTTATTATTTTTAATATAGTTATTATACTGTATGAGTATATCCTTAGTTCTCCCTGATGTGGCTGCTTTCCATAAAAAAATGACACCCCTACTCTAAGGCCATACTTAATTAATGCTCTATTTTCCATGGTATATAACATATACAACACTTACTGAATTTACAACAAGAATATCAATATTCTTCAGTGTGTTTAACTCCCTCAATCACGTTATTTGGATGAAATACCAAAAATGTGAACATTTATGATGTACAAAGACTTGCAAATAATAATCATATGTAGAAGATTGCCAATACTTGATGTCTCATTCACATAATCAAGCTTTAACCCTTAAATATAGATGCCTTTGTACATAATTCCAAGGGACACCACATTAAGTTGTAAACGAAGTAATAAGGATTGGCTGTTTTAAGAATAACTGTGATCTGGAAGTTTTAGGGAACAGTTTAATGTAGGATCAAATATTTCCTTTACATTACAAAAAAACAACTAGTTCTAGAAATGTACATTACATTCGCTTCCATTTAGGTCTATTAGGTGTTTCTTCTTTGTTTGCAAATCTGAAGTAACTTCTGCTCGGGAAAGCTTTAATGGAGCTTCTTCACAAGTGTCTGAAGTATAAAGTTGTGTCAATTATATTTACATATTACTTTTTGTACACATTTAAACCTTTCAAACATATGCAGAATAATACCTTTACATGAAGAAATACATATCATGGATAGTTGTAAACTGATACATCTTTAACATTTATTTTTAGTTCCAAACTTATGCCATTATATAATACACCTACCACTTAAACTGTAATCGTAAATCAGTCTGCAATTAAAGAATGAAGAGTTGTAGTTTTAGTAGAAATATCTACCCGCATAATAAATTATGTGAACATCATACTCTCCAGTCAGCAGTAGGTTCTTCATTATTCTTTACAGCTCTTCTTAATCTTTCCTGCCTGCTGCAGGTAGTCCAAGACTACCACAATATCTACCTCATTTTTTTTTAGTAAACTCCACAATATAAAACATCATAACGGAATGTTCAAAGAATATCTTTCTGTGATAAGACAAACCAAAAATACTAAATTCGCTCTTTTCTCATTCGATTGGCAACTATAAAAGGACAATAAATATCTAGGTACAGTAACATCTACATCACAAAGTGTCAATACAAATACAGTTGTATGATCCTATTTATCTACATCAAATAATAAGTAATTAAATTATAAACACACCATTACTTTATACAACCATGTAACAAAGGAATTGCTACAAACATCTCGCCAAAGGGAAGAAGAAAATAGTTGTCAACAACTAATCTAGCACAATATTGATAATATAATCTTCGTGAAATGCTTCCTACAACTACAAGATACACACTCAGAAAGCTAGAACCCAGTGGATACTGAAAAAACGATTCCTTGTGCATAAACGTATATCTAGTTTCATTATGAGAAAGCTAAATTTCCAATCATATATTTTACTTTTTTCTTATCGCCTTAGGCCGAAATGATAGTTCACTCATTCAGCAATAATTTCAGTTTCAATACATCAAATTCAAAATAGTTAAATACTAAACTCTTTTTGTGTAATCAATATATTTTTCATAAATCAGCGCAGAACATAATTACAAATAAAATATTTAGAAATATTTATATTTTCGAGTTAATACAACTTATAATTGTGACTAAAAGTTTTTACTAAAATCCTACTCTTAGCAAAACCCGGCGTGTTCACGTACATAGCACTAATGCACATGTTTAGTCGTTGTCCAGTAAAAATAAATAAGCTAATTCAGCGTTTCCCAAACAGACCTAGGAACAGGTTTTTTTTATTATTCCCATTTTTTCGGACAATCTTGTATACACAGGAACGTGTATGTACACTCGGTAAATTACGATTTTGCTGTATTAGATATGCATATTTATTACACCATGAAAATAAATAGAATAAATTAAATTTCACTGTTTATTCAAGCTTACGACATTGGGAATCAGGAAAAAGAGAACTAGCTAATGTGAAGGATGATGATGTTTGTTATTACATAACTTTACGTCAGGAGGAAAGGAAGTTAATGGTAAGATCTCTAAAATAAACTGTACGAATGGGTTGTGGATCAGAGAAGGCAAGGATTATCCGTTTTTACAAATATGATAATTTTTAAAGCAAAGAGGATTGCATGTGATAATAGTTTAGAAGAGTTTACTGGTCATACATCGTGGTGTTATCGGTTCATGAAACGCAAAGGCCTAAGTCTGCATGTGGGTGAAGAATTTGTGAGAAAAAGTAAGAAGTGATTAAGTTGTTTAAGAAATATGGTATCAGTAACGCAGTGGATGGAACCGAGGATGACATTCTTTTTGACCATAATATTGGATTCAGTGATTCCTTTCCAAGCGACAGTGAAAGCAATGAAGATTTT